TTAACTCTAATTCTAGCCGGACCCTAACGACAATGACCAGAATTACTTTGTCGGCGAAATGACTGTCGGTGAAATAAACTTGTCGGTGAATTGATTGTCGGTGAAATGGCAATATATCAGACCTGGTTCTTTTCAAATAACTAGACTACCAGCCATAAATGCAAAATATGCATGCTCTTCAAGTTTTTTTCTTAATGATATAATATTAGACCCAGGTTTATTATAGGTTTTAAAATTGGTGAAATGTAAGAGATCCGGGTCCCGTTTGATTTCACCGACACTCACTTCACTGACATATAGGGGGATCTTTTATATGATCCTTTACAGTAGTATAATTTCTCACTGTTCAATACTAAATTAAGTCCGTGAGGGTGAGATATTTTTGAGATTTTTTGCACAGTGAATATTGACGTTCTTTTTTTCAGAGTCCTCGGATTTTTGTAGCATCTAAAATAGCGCTATTTTTTTAGCAAAATAGCTAGCAACAACTGCCTTGTGCTAAGATGCGAAATTTGCTACTTTTGCACTAAACATATGGTTATTACCTTTGTTCTTGAATTGATTTACATAAACGAATAATTATATGCATATTTTAGATGATGACCGGAGAACTCATTGAAACGATAGATAAAGAACTTGCAGAAGAAAATATGATTACATTAAAATTTATACTTAATAAATATAAATTTATAATAAGCTATTTTGTTAAATTCGCTAATTTCACTAGCTATTTTTGCCAACTATTCTTGCTATCAACGTCCGGGGTCCCTGGATTTTTTATTAGTGAAACACTCTAAATAAGTTAGCCCAAGCAAACGAATGTCTGACCATGAAATCCAATAAAATTGCTTATAAAAAACAGATTTCAACAGACTAGTTGTCGAAATAATTATTTATTAAGATAAATCAATTTATACACCCATGTATATTAAAGTACCCCGAATATACCGCCGAGGAGATGTTTCATAAGTTCCGTAATTCCGGAGTAAATAGTACGGACGTGCTTCTTTAAAACGTACAATTGGTGTGAAGATAGTAGAAATGGTAATTATATAAATTAATTGGCATACCATTTGTAGTACATGAATAGCCATGCAGATGTCTTGTACATATAAAACTTTTGTTAAATTTTTCATTATTGTTACGTACGTATGTATTTTCCATTGCATTGTTATGCAATGTGGTACATAGAAAATTTACATGTTTACAGAATGATTGGTCCAAAAGTTTTTGTGTTTTATTAATATGGTGATACAGAATTTCCTTCCAAAAAGAATATATAGCGTATACCGAACTAAAAACCTTTTAATTTTGAGATTCGTATATTTTAAGAGATTCGTATAAAAGTATCATAATCTTACATTCCTTGAAAGCTGAGGGATAATTCCCATTATAAGTGCACATAAAAACTATAAACACATGAACTCTGATACTAGAATTCTTAATCCTACAATCCGGTTCGAAACATACACTTCTTCAAGCGTTACTGATATAAATACTAGTCAAAAACAAAATGATCCAAAACATAGTAAACTAATAATTTACAGTAAACAAATGCAGATAGATGATGACGATGATGAATTCTATACGCCTGTTAATATTTATCGTGAACATAAAAATCATTTAGAGCAAGATAAAAGAGTCCGTAAAGAATTGGACACCCAAATGCTTGATGACCTTTACGAACCTATTCAAAAAGCTTTTCTGCATAATTCAAAACTTTTAACGTCGAAGAATGTTGATATTTCTTTTGGTGGCAATGAAATTATCACGACTGGAATGTGGAATTCTAATTATAATGAAAGTTGTTAAAAGAATATTTTTCAGCAAATAAAATTAAACATTTAAACTTGTCTTTTAGAATGTTATGCCGGAAATTTTATTATACTTAATATGTATTTATAAACTTTAGTGTGTTGTAAATATTAACTTCAATCATAAATATATTAACTTCAATCATAAATATATTAACTTCAATCATAAATATATTAACTTCAATCATAGATATATTAACTTCAATCATAAATATATTAACTTCAATCATAGATATATTAACTAAATCATAATACATAATATGAATATTTATTTTTATTGCCAGTTGCATTTTAGTCATCTACATTATTCGCATTACCATTATTGTTGTAATTAATATTATACGACCAAAATTTTAAATAAAAAATGAGCCTTTAAAGCAGGGACCCCGGACGTTGATAGCAAGTGAAATTAGCGAATTTAACAAAATAGCTTATTATAAATTTATATTTATTAGGCCGCTTGCAGTTAAAGTTTCGTTTAACGTTATTTTTTTTTCGTATTCACAGGGGGAGGGGGGAAAAATTAAACAAACATAAAAAATAAACATATAGTATACCGAAAAATCCCGAATATAATCGAAAAATTCCGATCGCTGTGCCGACCATTACACTGACTAATTTGTCACCTCTATTTGTTTAATTTTAGGGGGGAGCTCAGGGGATGGAGGGGGGGATAACATTAAACGAAAGTTTAACTTCAAGCGGCCTTAAGTATAAATTTTAATGTAATCATATTTTCTTCTGCAAGTTCAGTTCTTTATCTATGCATATAATTATTCGTTTATGTAAATCAATTCAAGAACAAAGGTAATAACCACATGTTTAGTGCAAAAGTAGCAAATTTCACATCTTAGCACAAGGCAATTGTTGCTAGCTATTTTGCTAAAAAATAATTTTAGATGCTACAAAAATCCGAGGACTCTGCTTTAAAGTGAAAAAAAAAGATTATAGTCGTCAGAGCTTTTATGTGTTGAGATAAATATCCAGCTTTGTGGTCACGCGTGAACTCAATTATGACTTGGCCTAATATCACATGTAAATAATAATTCTCTTCTGTAACTAACCTTTCAAAGGCCTCTGGTTGTATTTTACAATTTTTCTAAATAGTTTCTAAATGTTTTTTAACAATTTAAATTACTTGTGAAAGAAGCGTGGAAAAAATTTAGTTAAA